TAATATATATGAGCAATATTACTGTCCGGGACAATGCAATGGATACGTACGTATTGAATAGGATACGTACGTATTGAAAGGAAGTATACGTACGATACGAAGCTTTAAWGAAAGGAATGAAGGAGCATACCATTCCTACGTACCTATCGTAAGGTACTGTTTATATGTATAGATCATACGATCCATCATGTTGATGATCGTAAGAGGTCTAAGATACTATTCGAGAATATCTCACGAAGAATAGAGATGTCACGAGTCCGGAATAGAGAAGCTTCATGTAGATTCGGTACCAGGTCTACATGAGCTTCTGATCAGAACTTCGGAATTCTCGTGAACGCGCTTGGTAATCTTCGAATAATTCTAATCTTATAATTCAATTTTCATACACACTTAACACCTACTAAGAGAGTACACGTAATCTCGTGCAAACCATTCTTTTGTCAGCAGGAGGTACTGGTACCATTCTCGGGGATAGTTGAACAGGTGGTGTAGGGATAACTCATACCGAACCATGTGCACTACAAACTAGAGTTACTAAGTACAATTCCCGTGCTGGCAAGTTATTGGCAATCCCTGTACAAATACAAATAGATATTTTTAGCTCATTTTTACAGTTAAAACCAGTTAAAAAAGGCATCCAACGGACAAAAATAAAAATATTTCCATTGCTGTTTAATTTCTCGCTAGTCCCAAAATATTTCTATTAGTGGTCCTTAATACTGGGGATAAGCTCTGATATTGTATCCGCGGTAGTAAGGATCACTAATAGAAATATTTAGAGACTTTTTTTATGCGGAGGGGGGGGAGAGGGGAAATAGAGACGGGAAAATAAAAAAAATTGACACTCGGGAAATTGCCTTTAACTTGCCAGCACTAGCTTTAGTGGAATTGTACTTAGTAGCTCTACTACGTACGGTATTGCACCATCCCAGTGGCTGCTGTGGCACGTGTCCAACGAATATTTGTGCTTCCAACGGTCGTATTTTATGAGCGTGCTGCGTATCCATCACCCACGCTCGCCAATGCTCATTTTTATGATGTGCGCGGTGGGAATGTTATCAATTTTTGGATGGACGATCGGAGCCTAGAAACTGGTCCTTTTAAGTACGATAACTACATAACATCGGAGTTACAATCAGAATGATGTTGTAACACACGTGCAGAGGTACACCTAATGACTATTGTACTCCTCATAACTCATCACAATAAGTTTCGGATCGTACTAAATTAAAGAGTACTACGCACTACGTACTCATTCAATGGGAAAAGCTTGTTGAATTATGGTTCAGCAGCACGTACGTACGGTACTGTGGAATACAAGGAGATCTCAACCAGGGTCATCCAGTCAAAGACCTTCTTACAATACGAGCTGCACGGTAGTGAGAGTGAAAAACTATCCGTTCACCAGTTTCTTCCTTCGCTTTCATTCACCAGAACTAGAACTAAACCTTCGGGACAAAACTAGTCGTCATTGCAGTCCGAAGACACCTTAGAATCGTTAATTGAAACTAGGGAACGCAACACAACAAAAGGAAAAAGATTCAATTGCATTCGAAGGTCTAGTGAAATAGTTGACGTAATCAAAATGGCAGGAGAAGATCATCGATATGCAGTGGATATCCGCGTGTTTGTCTCGGTGATAGTTGTTGCCATGGCTGTATCGTTTGGTGTGGGCGTTGGACTTGGGCCCGCGGTACAGACAAAAGGAATGACTCAAAACCAGGATTTGCCTTCTGTCACTTCGGTCGAGGTTAATCAAGCCGAATCCCTTTTGGCTGCACAGGCAGCTGCCGATGATGGAGAGTTGCACGAACCCGCTGGACAGGTACGTTGCAAATTTCTGCTAGAAAGTACAGAAGCGGCGCAACGCTTTGGAGTGCTGGCGTGTTGGCGTGTTGGCGTGTTGTTGCTCAATTTTATTAGCAGCACTTGTTTGCTATTACTGTCGACCACCTCACTCTTTCGTCCCTCCGTCCCCCCTTTTTCGCTTAAAGCATCTTTTGGTCGACATCAAAGGAATCGAAGCCGCCTTTTTGGATTCCGAAGAACGTCTTGCCAAGGCAATGGTAGACACTGTTAACGAAGCCGGCTTAACAATGCTTTCGTACCACTGCCACAAGCTGATTCCAAAGGGTGTTTCCTGCGTTGGGGTCTTACTAGAATCCCACATCAGTTTCCACACCTGGCCCGACGAGGGTGTGATCACCCTAGATTTATTTACATGCGGAAACAACCCTTTGGTTCCCGCCGTCAAGACAATCCAGGATCTTTTCGGTATTCCTCGAGAAAACGATACAATCAGCATGCAATGGTCCCACGAATTGCGTGGTTTCCGCAACAAGGACAAGGTTCCTGACAAAGGAAACGACAACTATGCCATCTTGGACCACAATTCCGACCTTTCGCAAATGGTTTGGTCGCCGATCGACTGTCCCGTCAAGGAGCAGATCATTAGCAAACTGACAAAGTTTCAACGCGTAGATATCTGGGACATGGTGGGGCTTGAAGAAACACCCTCTCACGAGGATGCCCTCAGGCACAACCTCCAACCGGGCGATCCGCGCTGGAACACTGCCGAGGTTGTCTCGCCAACTCGCATGCTTTTTTTGGATGGAATCCTTCAGTCCGAATCTAGCTCTCAAAAGGAATACCACGAGGCGCTGGTTCATGCCGGTATGTTTTCACACCCCGATCCCAAACGTGTGGCGGTCGTCGGAGGTGCAGAGGGTGCTACTTTGAGAGAGGTGTTGAAGCATAAGACGGTCGAATCCGTTACGATGGTTGAAATTGATGACGAGTTGATTGAAATTTCCAAGACATACATGCCTTTTATGTCGGACTGTTCTGATTACCTTGGGCGATCTAACAACTGTTTCGACGACGAGATTTTGAATTTGGTTACGGAGGACGCTAAGGAATGGTTCATGGAACGCAAGGCTGAAGAAGAGAAGTTTGATGTTGTCATTGTGGATGCCATGGAACCCGAAGCCTCTGCCGCAATTTCCAAAGATTTGTACGATACTGCCCACCTCGAAGCTATTTTGAATTCATTGACATCGGAAGGTATTATGGTCATTCAAATCGGAAGGGCTCCGACGATTTTGGATCCTCGTCCTGACATTGGATTCAATGCTCCCCGCGAAGAACTCTTTAAAAACTTGGAAGCCCTGAACGCAGTCGAGGCGATGTTTGTTTACGAAGACCCGCATTGCGGATTTTCTGAGCCTCGTGCATTTATGATTGTATGCAAGTCCGAGTCATGCCGTCGTCTCTTTTACGCTACTTCGGACCAGATTGATTACGAAATTTATTCTCGAATCGTCAAGACTCATTCCAAGGTCCGCGCCCTCTCCTATTTTGATGGAATCACCCACTTGGGATACCAAGTCGCACCCAAGGCATGGGAGACTACATATTGCCGTCGAGAACCCACTCCTTTTGAGTGTTCGTACCGACACTTGGACTTCAAGAAACCTATTTTCGAATTTAACTTTGAAAGTGAAGAGGAAAACCCATTCAAGGTGACTGCTGATTGGGAAGGAGAAGGTGAGGATATGTCCATATCTAGCACTCACGTCTTTGCTAACACTGATATTCCGAAGGGAGCCTACATCATGCCCGAACACTTGGCGAGCTCCTTGAGTCTTTCCCAGAAGGCCATTGAGAACCTCAAGGAAACTACCGAGTACGGAGGCGTTTCTGTCATAGAGGACTTTGTGACGTTTGTCGAAAAGTTTGGACACGAATCCAAGGCGAAAGGAACGGAGCGCACGCTTGTTGAAATTGGTGCGTCGTACCTGATCCGAGAGGTCGAGAAGAAGGAAGACGCTAATATTGGCCGGTGGATTCCTTCACACCCAGACGGACGAAGGCCTAAGTATTCTCCTGTCTATGAACGTCATCGCCTTTCCTTTGACGTCTTTGCGGTCGCCACCCAGGACATTCCAAAGGGATCCGAGCTCCTTAAATACAAGGGCATGTGGGAAGAGCCTTGAAGAATGAAATATTTCGATAGATGACATGATTCAAGTTATTTAATTAGTAAAATCATTCAAAGTTGCTTTAACGGTACAGAACAGTACAAACCAGCAAAACTGTAGAAATAAACATGGCCGGTCGTCCCCATTGCGAAAAAGGAGTGGATGACGGCGTTTCCAAGAATAATATATTTCTTGGACCATGTGTACGAAGAGGATGATGTTGTTTCCAAGAATAATACGTTTTCTTGGACCATTTCTAGAAGTAAGGGGGTGATTTATTTGAATTGAGCATCGAAAACAGATGACGGCATAGCTGATTTGAACCTTTCTTTCACTGAATTTAATTTTGTTACGGTCTCGGCTGTGTGACGTTTGCCGGACCGATCTTGTGATCGTGCACAAACGCCTTCACTTGATCGTGAAAGAACCGAGTCCACTCTACCATGGAAGGCTGGCCAGAAAAGTAAGCTAGGAACCAAAGCCACCGCTCCAGGCCACCGATCTTGTACTCTGACCAGCACTCTTCCCAGCTATAGTTACAAGAAGAGCCGTTGCTACCCAGCTCGTGCACAAGTTGTTGGTAGTAGTTTCGAACCAGTGTTTCTTCGCAGACCAGTCGTTCGCTTGGGTCCATGTTGCTAATAATGTATTGTCCGAGTTCCTGTGGTCCGCTACCGAGACCTGGTGTTGGTTTGTTTTTTGTTTCAATGCCAAGAACGACAGTGAGTCGGAACAAAATTGAGCAACTCTGACGGAACAATAGGTGATTTCACAAAGCGCAATCAAGATACAAAATCTTTACAATTCACTCACCAACCATTTCCCAATCCAGTAGCCGCAGCTGCCGTAACCTGCAACCCTTCCTACCATCGTTTTCTATCACACTAGTAGCTGGACCCTGGTCTTTCGAAATCATCACGTTCCCTGGCCAAAAATCGCCGTGGACCAAGCAAAAATTCGAGCCCGCGTTCAGCCGCTGCCGCTGAGACTCCCATGATATTCCCTTCATGGCAGTTTCTAGGATTTCCCGAACGAGGGGATCCCATTGAATTCTTTGTTCGTCGTTGTTGCTCCCACCGTCATTATCGTTCTCGATTTCGCTTGCGGTGTAACGCGCCCATGAGGCCTGCACCACTCCCTGAGAAGCCCGCCACGATGCTTCATCACTCCCGCTTGTCCACGAAGATCCCCGCAGCCAGCTGTATTCGTGTCCGAGCAACGCAGAGTCCCTCCAGAATGCCGCGTGAACACTGGCCATTGCCACAAATGATTGGTTGGCGACCTCGAAGGGAGTCGGAACCCTGGACAGCGTCGGATACGCACCGGCGATGGCAGCCCACAGGTCCCGAGACCAGTTGTTCGGATTGCCCGGGCCGAACAAGATCCCCGAGTCGACAAAGCCTCCGGAAAGATCTTCCATCACAATGATTTTTGACCCATCGTCCATGCTGCCGGAGGAGCAATAGATTTTCGGGGTGCAGCAACGAACAGGAAATTTTATTCTCGGGGCTAGCTGGTTGTAAAACATGGCCTCGCGTGCGAGTCCCAATCGTTGGCTCAGCGCCAATCCAGAAGGAGGTATCTGTTTCGCCACCAAGGTCTTTATTTTTGTCGCTGTGTTTGTTTCGATTCCATCGTCCCGCCTTGTCACCCTCAAAAGAAGGGTCGAGCCGTTCCTGGGGTTGTTGCCTCTACGGCCGTCGTTGCTGATGTCCTCGGCGGTACAGCCGGAAACGCTGGGGAAGTCGCCGGGCATGTTCTCTTCGATCCAAGACGGATCAATGCGAGAGTCAGTGATCCATATCGGCATGGCGGTGGATGTGGGCGATGCTTCCGTCATTCTCGTTGCTTTTGTTTTTCTTCTGAACGTTGCTTTCGTTTGAATACCTTGGAACCTTGCAGTTCGAAGTGTCCCCAGTAGCACGGACGGTGAAGTAGATTTTAGATTTTGTACAAGATTCGAACCTCTCTGGCGGGCATGTCTTGAAACGACAACTCGCAGTCGTACTCGTACTCGTGGGTCCTACCGCGACGGGTCCTTCAAACGAGCACCCAGTCATGCTTGAAGTAATATGCTCACACGATGCACGTGCCCACGACCGAGATTAAGGAGTACGGCTTTACGAGTAGTACGAAATAATGCTTATCAAATACGGCAATGAGGCTTATCAATTGGTTCCGCCTTTTTTTTTGAAGGACACCGGCGGCCAAAAAAACTTACTACAGTGCAAAAACTAGGTTATTGCTAGTAGTAGAATGACTTGTCACAATAATGACTGAATGTTTAAGTTAAAAATGAATAATTTATTTTGGTAAAGGTACTAATTTATTTGCAGAAATGAATGTACCGGGGTTTGTACAAATCTACACTAAAAAAAAGTTTCTATTTGTTTCCTCGGTAAGTCCAGGGCTGTGCACGAGATTACGTGTACTTTTAGTAGCAGGTGTTAAGTGTGTATGAAAATTTAAATTGTAAGATTAAGATTACCGAGCGCGTTTACGAGAATTCCGAAGTTCCGATCAGAAGCTCATGTAGACCTGGTAGGGATTCTACATGACGCTTCTCTATTCCGGACTCGTGACATCTCTATTCTTCGTGAGGTATTCTTGAGGAGTATCTTAGAC